GCGGCGACGACAACAGCGGCTATGCAACGGTCGGTCGAGCAGAAGAAGGCGAAGTTGAGGGCGGCCAACGTGTATTGTCACAGAAGCATATGCAGATGTACAAAACCGGAAACGGAAGCCAAAAATGAGGGGACAGTCTGGGTATATATATACAATAGGGGGGGGTCAAGGTCATCACGGGGGGTCGCAAGTTCGTGTGTTGGTTTCGTCAACGGGCTGGTCGGGGTTGCGTGTCAGGGCATCCTTAATGCAGAAAGGAGAGAGAAATGTTAAGTATATAGGGTCATTACACCATTATTTTTTAAACCTGTTCCCATTTTTATCGAACATATTCCAATTAATTGAAGATTCTCATTGTAACATTTGAGAACAAAACACGAAATAGCGAACAAGCTCGTTTTCGATAACTTCCTCATCTGGCTAATACAGTTATATAAATAGGTACAAGGCATATCACATTTGCATTACGTTTGACCTGTGTGTGTGCGTGTGGATTGGATTGGTAGATATAATTTGTTGATTATGTGTGGTTTACAAACAAAAAAATGGATTGGTGGGTGGATGGGAAAGGGACGTGTCACAAGACGGATTAGGACCGAGTCAGACTTAACCATCACCGGTTTCAGGTACTGGGTCAATCGCAAGGGTCAACGGGTAATGGAAAGGTTCAACTCCAGCCATGCAACTGAATTCACTCCGTGGCCACAGCAGTTGAAGTGCTTAAAGGAATCGCTGTTGGGAACAAAGCGATGGGTTAAACAGGCGGATGGCTACCGCCTCGGCTGTTGCTAGATGTTGTTGGCGAACAGCCTTAGATTGATAAGGAGGAACTCGGTAGATCACCTTGAAAGCGTCTTCATTCACCTTATGTCCCGTATTGGTGAGGTGTTCGACAATGGCACTAGTCATGGTTTTTCTTTGTCCAGTAGACAACCAGGCTGGTTTATGTTCCTTGACTCTCTGGGAGAACTGCCTGATGGTTCTACCTATGTAGTTTGCCGAACATGAGCAAACAAAAGAGTAGGTAATCCTAGAAAAGGTAAAAATAGGCCGTTTCTCTTTGAGATTCATGGAAATAATTGGTCGACTGGTGACGGTTAACCCTGACTCGGTCCTAATCCGTCTTGTGACACGTCCCTTTCCCATCCACCCACCAATCCATTTTTTTGTTTGTAAACCACACATAATCAACAAAT